ATAATTGGAGGAAAATAAAATACTAAATAAATAATTTAAAAGCTAAAATGAAAAGAAAAAGAAAACTCCAAAATGGGATCACAAAAAGTTAGAAAAACTGAACAACAACAACAAAAGTTGGAAAAGCATTTTATAACTGTTCTTTCCTTTTATACTTATGACAGCTCTAGGATATAGTTGCTACTATTACTGTCATTTTACAGATGAAGAAACTGAGTGAGACAGGGGTGGAGGGCCTTGCCCATCATCACACAGCTAGTAACAGTCTGAAGTCAGACTGGAGGTCACATCTTCCTGACTCCAGGGGCAATACTAAAACTAATTCACCACCAAGCTGCCTCTCTTCCGTATGATTTAGTGCTAGAAATAGCATTGTGATTGCTTCACTTCCAGATCACTCCACTGCCTGTTCCATTTTTCCACTAGATATTTTGCCTATGCAGATAATTTTGTTGACTTCCCCTCTCACTTTCACAACTTTATTTTTTTTGTCTTCATCTATCAGAATATAAACTTCTTAGATGCAGGGACCATTATATTTTGTTGGTTTTATATCCCCAATGCTTAGCACTATGCCTAGCACATCGTAAATGAGTACTAGTTAATCTATTTCTCTGTTTGGATGTCCATTGGTCAGTTTATCTCCCCACATGGATATATGATTTGGATACAAAGAGTGACATCATAAACCAATTAGAGGAGCAAGCAAAAAAGTTTTGAATTTATATTTATTTCTTTTGAATTTATAGAATGAGGAATAATTCTCAAAAAAAACAAGGAATAGAGAGGATGGCAAAACACATAATGAACAACTTTGATTATATAATATTAAAATTTTTTCAGAAACAAATGTAGTTAAATTTAGAAGAGAATTAGGTAATTGTTTGAAGATAAGGATCTAATTTCCTTTTTTAGACATGTTATTTTCTTCTTATTTTGACTTTCAGACATTGTTTTTTTTTCTCCCTGCATCCCACAATCCACCCACTAAACAGGAAGAAAGGAAAAAGGAAAGAAGAGCCAAGAAGAGGAAAGAAAGGATTGGAGAAGGAAGAAGAGAAGAAGAGAGAAAAGGAAGGAAGAAAGGAAGGAGAGAAGAGAGAGAGGAAAGAAGAGAAGGAGGGAAGGGTTAAAGGAGGGAAAGAAGGAAGGAGGAAAAGATAGTGTGAGAAAGGGAAAGAAAAAAGGACAGAAGGTGGAAAGGAGGGAAAAAGGGAAAGAAGGAAGGAAGGAAAGAAGGAAGGAAGGAAAGACAGAAAGGAAGGAAGGATGGGAGGCCCCTGAATCACATAAGGACAGTCAATCAAAATATTACCACATTACTCATGTTCAAATACTTATAAATCATTCTGCATATTAATTCAGTTTCTCACTGTTTTTAATTTAGGCAGACAATTTTCTTCTTCATCACTCCTCTGTAATCATATTTCATCAGAATTCTTATTTATTTCCAAATGATTTGTTTTTAAAATACTGGTATTATAGTTTAAATAACTCTTTTACTTCACAATGGATCACTTCATAAAAATGTTTCCATAAGTACTTCAAACTACCTTTTGTCTTATGTTACTGTACCCTAATATTAAAATTGTATCCATATACCCTATTAAAAATAACTACAGAAAATAGAAAAGACTTGGGAGTGTACATGCCCAGATGCACACACAGCAAGTAGATGGACATTCTTCCACTATACACTTTATGGAGATAGAGACTGATCTAAATAAAGGGAGAAATATGAATTTCTCATAAGCAGACTGAGCCAATCTAATATAAAAAATTACAACACTATTTAATGAAATCATTTATTCAGTACTATACCAATCAAACTACCAAATGAATACCTTATAAAGACAGAGATCACAGAAGGTAAAATAAGCACTGTTGATTAAAATTTTTTAAATTTAAAATGTAAATTAAGTTAAATTTAAAATTAAATATATATATATATATTGCACAAACAAAGTCGATTCAAATAAAAATAGAAGAGAAGCAGGTAAATGGGTAAAAATTTTTGCAGCAAGTTTCACTGATCAGGATCTCATTTCTCAGGTATAGAGGGAACAGATTCAAATTTATAAAAACAAGAGCCATTCCCCAATTGATGAATAGGGGATCTTTCAGAGGAAGAAATCAAAGCTATCAGTAGCCACATGAAAAATGTTTTAAATCACTAATGAATATGGAAATACAAATTAAAGCAACTCTTATGTTCCACTGCACAGACATCAGATTAGCAGAACTGACCAAAAAAGGAAAAATACAAATCTTGGATGGGCTGTGGAACACCAGGTACTTTAAAGCACCATTGATTGAACTGTCAACTGGTCTAGACATTGTGGAAAGCACTTTGGAATTGTGTCCTCAAATTAGGAAACTGTGTGGATGCTATGACCCAGTGATATCACTGCTCGTCTGTAACAAAAGAGATTAAAGATCGATGGAAAGGGCTCACATATACAAAAATAATTATAGCAGTTCATTTTGTGGTGGCAAAGAATTTAGGAACTTTGAGAGAACCCACCAATTGTGAAGTGATTGAACAAGTTATGGTATGTGAATATACTAATATGATTTTGTTATAAGAATGATGAAGACAATGGTTACAGAAGAAACTGAGATGACTCCTACGCACAAATTCATTGTGAAAAAAGGAGAAACAGGAGAATAAATTATACAATAACAACATCATTATAAAGACAAAAAACTTTGAAAGATTCAGGAACTCTTATCAACATGGTAACAAACAGAATTCCAGAAAACTCATGGTAAAATATATTACACAGATACTGAGGTGATGGACTCAGAGTGCAGAGTGAGACTTCCTTTTCCCCTCACTTTGTCAATTATGGAAATTGTTTTGCTTGGATAGAGGAACTGCTAAGACACATTTTCTTATTTTTGCTTTCCAAATGGAGGCAGGGTTAAAGGGAGGGAGAGAAAGCATATCTTCATGAAAATAATTAAAACTTAAATGAATAAAAATTACAATATGGAAGGTTTATGAGAAATTCAGAAGAGCGTGTAGGAAATGAGAAAGAGGAAGAGATAACAAAAAGAGATTTACAAGGAAGCAAAGAAAAGATGCATAGCTGTCAACAACTCATTCGTATTAATTATATAGGCTTTTTTGAAATGGAACTTTATTGCTATATAGGTTGAATCCTTTCTAACATTCTGCTATGCACATGATATGTCTTTTGCACTTTTTATTTTGTATTTATGTTTTAATATTTAAATTTATAATATTTTTCCTTTTCTTATTGCGTATTTAAGTTTTAGTATTCAAGTCTAAAATAAAAAAAGACTAAAAAAAAGAAAAAAGAAAATTATACTAGGAAAAAAAACAGACAAAAAAGAAGTACTATTGCTTCCCTAATGAAATGAAGGAAACCCAAACCAGACAAGAAGGGCAGCTGCAATCTACTGTGATTAATAGCCCTGCTTTTCCAGGTAGTTTTTAAGGGAAGGGAAAAGCAATGAATATTACTAGTAGATTGTCTGCTTGCCCACAACCTAATCATCTTTAGGGAAAAAAATGAGATGAACGGAATAGAGAAAAAACCCAAATAAGCTGTGAGGGTTCAAAGAAGTGTGTCACTGCACTGCATGGGCAGCCCAGGAGGGTCCCCTCATGTGGATTATTTTCTTGTGATCTACTGGTACTAGAACACAACAGGGAATTGGGATATTTGAGAGGAGAAATTGTGGTGCATTTGTTTCTCCTTGTCCAATGTCCGATGTTTCTTCCATCATTAGTCAGGAAAGGGAGGCAAATTATGAGGAGATCAAGTCAATGAACAAATGCCTTTTATTGTCTCCATGCAGAAACTGGCCCAGAAAGGTTAATTGATTTACTGGCACAACTTCTTAGTCACTAAGCAAGGACTCAGAAGTGAAATTAGCACAGGCCAATCACACTTCATGGACAGCAAGTGTATCTCCTTTGCCCTAGATCTGCTCCCCCAGTCAGTGCCTCTCATCACCAGCACCTTGGCTGCAACCCCAAGATCCTGTGGCTGTCCCAATCTTCTTCTGCACAAATCTACCAAGCCACCAGCGTTCCCCCTGCTCTGGGGAAGTGTCATATACAGGGCACTCTCCATAGAAGGTGGAAGTTGGTGTTTGGTGAAAAAAGTGAGTTACTAAGGTATCAAAGACCAGTCACTATCTCCATCCTCAGCCTTAATTCTCCCCAGTCACTATCCTCTTTTGCATCTTTTACACCATGCCCTTAAGAAACGTCTTTCACACTAAACCAACTCTCTTTTATCTTCCATTATTTCCCCTTCCATTCTTTCATCTTCTGGTGATCCCTGAGCTTTTTCCTAAAGTCACTCTTTCTCTTGGTACCCTCTTCAAAGATGGCTGATCCTTCAACTGTCTTACATCCCCAGAACCATGAGGACTGTAGGAGGGATGGATAAGCTTCTTACAACCCTCTGCCACTTTCATGCCTTCCCTTTGCCACCACCACTCAGCAAAGGACATCTTCTTATTGTTTAGGTTTTACTAAGTCTTCTCCAGATTTTAGGAGTTGTCCCCTATCAAACTCCATGTCATGTTCTGTCTTTCCCAGCAAACTCAGGACCTCACTCATAGACTTCAGTGCAGTGCAGTACTTGTATGGTTTTCAATACTCTCTCTCCTACCTTGTTTCTCACCCTCCTTAACTCCCAGGACTTCCAGTGTTGGTTTGCCTTATGCACAACAGGTCACAACTTCAATCCTGCTCTCCCCCAACCATACTCATGTTAAACTGAATGTTCTCTAAGTGCCAGAATTCCTAGTTTCCTAGTTATAACTCTGACTTAAGTGATACCCACAACTTATGAGCCAAGTGCAGCAAGGAGGTACATTTAAGCCCATTCTGAGTGCCCAACCTTGGGTTCAGTCCCTTCCCTTGAGAACTTCCACAAGAAACATAAGCTCAGCCCCAGTTATTCCCAACTGGAGAGGATTTAACCAGTGGTGGGGAAAACAAGCAGTGACCACTCTACTCATGCTGAAATAGTGGGAAGTTTATTGTAAGGAAAACCAGGGGAAAGGAACACACTGTCCAGAGAGAGTCTTCATGCAAGGAAAGTGGCTCCAGTAAGCCCAGGCAAGGAGACCATGGCAGGGGTCAGCAGAGGAAAAGCATCAGACACAAGATCCAGTAAGTTGTCCTCTGGCTTTAAATGGCTTCAGGCAGAAGGAAAAGAAGAGCAAGAGGGTCTTCTGTCAGGGGAAAATCGAGCAAATAAGACTGGCATCTTTGTGACCAGTTCTCACATTCAGGATCTTCTGTATTATTCCATTTCTTTCTCTTCCAACCAATCCAATTCTATCAGTCAGGCTCTTATTCCTTTTGAGAGCTATGGTAGAGCATGAAAGTCTACCTTCAGATGAACACTGGCCTGGGTGTCTTTCTGAAGTCCTTTTATGGCTCTAAATTTTTAGGAGTCTTTGTTTCACGCTTTAGGATTCAGGACTCCAGGTTCCAGGATACTGGTATGAGAATCTGCACCTCATTCTGCCAGCAACTAGGTATTCATCTGATATCTCAGGAATCTCTACACCAAGCCTGCATTCCTCCCACCCCAGATCTCCTGTAGGTGTTATCGTCCCTGAATAGAATGCAAGTTCCTTGAGGATAGGCATTGAGTTGCTGGTTTGTATTGATACCTACAGTGTTTAATAGGGAGCCTGGTACATAATAAGCACTCAGTCGATACATTCTCTCCCCCACCCAAGGGTTTTGATTCTAAAATTCTTAGATTCTCTGTTCCCAGAAATAATTATTTGCAAAATCAGTGAATCAAAAGAGAATATGTAACTTTCAATGCCACACTTACATCCTTGGGGGAGGAGGGAAGTTATTGTCCATTTAATGGAGAATTACACAGTAACAGTGACGTCCCCATGTACCACATCTAAAAGAGAGAACATGTGTCTCAGACAGGATGGAGTCAAGGGGAATGAGAGAGACTGGGGGGCTTCCACCAATTCTAGTTTTGGAAAAGAAGGGAAAAGAAAAGCATCTTCTAGAGTGCAGGGCTGAGGGAATTGGAATAGGTCTACACTGTCACTGCTCAGTCCCTTCCCAGTGTAGTGACTCTGATGAGAGAGAGCTGGGCTTCACAAAAGAAACAATTAATAGTGGTTGGTAGGAGAGATATCCATATACACTGACATTAGAAGTTAGTCATTCATTCAATTAGTCACTCAATGAATTTTGGGAAAGGCAGAATACTTGGCAGCATGGGACAATCTAGTTCTCATAGCTCAGGAAACCTTTGAATATCATGGACTCTGCCCAGCCCATTGGCAGTCAGAGGGCTGGGGGCTCTGAGCCAGGATTTTCCTGGGAATTCTAAGAAGCCTAAGGAGCAGTCATCCACCTGCTGCTTTGACTCAGTTCTCAGTCACTCCATCAGGGAAGGGGCCAGATTAGAACTATAAGAAAAAATTAACAATAAGCAGTCAAGGCTACAATTTCTTCTTGACATGAAATCCTTAAACCTCCAGTTCAACAATGGCACAAAGGAAATTAGTCTGGGTAACTCAGCCCATCATGGATAGAGGAGAAAGTTTGGTGAGATCAGATACTTACCATGCAAAGCGCCTACCAGTGCTGGAGGCGCCAGTCCTACTACGGTTCTGATCAAAGGGCAGAACTGCAGAGGGGATAGATAAGCATGAGAGCATCAGGCAAGGGAACAGGGCCAGAGGGTAAAGATGCCAAGAGGGGTCATCACCAAGCCTACCTGACCTGGGAGTTGACCTATGGACCCATCACACTTGAGAATGTTGACCTCATGGACAAAAAGTAGCCCACAGGGTGTGTGTCAGAACTGGAAGGGATCTTAGACATGATCTCACCTAATCCCCCACCATCTTAAAGAGGGGAAGGGGCTCATCCCACTCCACACCATAAGCCAGACACCAAGCATAGGCCAGTTTGCCAGCTTTGGGACTCCTAGTCGAGTCCTCTTTGTGTTTTCTAGAAATAACAAATCTGACTTTAACCGACCAGACCAAATTGTCATACTTACTAATTGCTTGACCTCCCACTCAGCAAGTCGGCTCACGGATTTAGATAAAGCTTCTAGTCCCCATCCAAATAAACCCCTAAAAGAAGAAGAAACTGAGTGACAGAGTGTTGCCAGTTGGCTGAGGATCCCAGGTAAATCCCCTCCCTCCAGAAGCTTCCTAACCCTATAGAAAACAGCTCAGCAGGCCCCAGGGACATGCTAAGTGAAAGGATTTCTTGGTCCCTGTGAGAAGTCTCACTAACTCAGCCAGGTTTTGAAACACAATTGAGATCTGAAGTTGGGTGGTTCTGGACAGAGTCTGTCTCCTGGAGCCAGAGAGAAGCTCTGTTGTATCAGGATATTCATTTATAGGATTCCTAATTGGAAGGGCCTTTCAAAGTCATCTAGTCCAACCCTGCACCAGACACCTAGGAGAAACTTGAGAAATGCTTAGGGAATGAAACTGCATTCACTCAAACCCCCTTCATTTCTAGAGGTGAGGAAACAGAGGGTCAGTGGCTCATTCAAGGTCACAGGGATGCTAAGCAGTCGAACAGAGGCTGGAGCCCACATGTGCTGGCCCCAGATGGAGTTCCATTTCCACTCTTGCTCTGTTTGCCCAAAGGGGATAGTGTGTATTAGATGGAGGTAGGGACAGTGTGAGAGCATTTTCCATCACGTCTTTTGAGCTGGTTTAGGGGCAGAGCTAAAAGCCTCCTGAGACAGAACAGAACAATTGTCCCAAAAGTCTGTCATTCTTATGCCAGAGTCCCAGAGAAGCTTCATTCTTGTTTTCAGAAAAGGATTATAAAGTAGCTATTGTGAGCAGAGAAATATTCTGGATCCTGAAGAATAAATAAAGGCCCCACACCTGTGAAGGTCACAGCCTAATATGCTGTGGATCATGTTTGTATCTTTTACTAGAGAAGAAAGTAAGGAAGCGAGAAATACATGCATTGGTAATAACAATCTCGGAGGTTTGATAGGGCTAGACAGTTATAGGAGGCACTTTTTCCTGTGTGACCCAATTCAGAATAATCACAATGGCTTTGTGGCAAAAGTTGACCCTGTTTTATAATCCTGAATCAGGCTCCCAGAGGAATGGGGTCTGGGGTGATGTCCAACGGAGAAGAAATGACAAAGGTGTGAGCACAAATCCACTATTTATGTCTCGCATGGCATCATTTTGCCTGTTGTCTCAGATGCTTATATCAACTCAAGGAATAGATACTATGTGCTGGCCCCTCAAGACCTTAGCATCCCTTTAAATCTTCTCATTTGGAGCATACAGTCTCTAGCCCAATCCTGAAATCATTCCTGTTAGTCTCTTGCCCCTGTCCTGGCCCACATCACTCCCTCCATTGCAGTTATACAATCCTTCTTTTCTGTTCTCTCCCTTGGGAGAAATCAGCTTTTCTTCAGCAGAGTCCCCAGACCTCATCCTTACCATTCATTTCCCCAATCCTCCCACTCCATATTACATGGTGCCCTTAGTATTATGATGTTTCTCTGACTGAGATAGAAAATGTCCATTTTCCAAGCTACCCCCAGGAGCCTTTTTGAGATTTGATGTCCCAGAGAAGATGTGAAACAAGGTCTCCTGTGACCCAGAAGAGCATCCCATCCTCTTTGAGGTCCGTGGGGTAGAAACACGTAAGTATATCTATCAAGCACATGATTTAGATGCTACCATGGGTCCCCCACAGCTCTTGGGTGACTCACGTTTGCTGGGATGAGATTTTAAGAAGTTGAGAGCTTGTCTGACATTTGGAAACACTCAGGCGAGCTTCTCCATCTTCATTCTTTTCAGTTGTGAGTTCAAGTGATGTGTTCGCATTTAGAGTGATATCAATCGCCTTGAGAAGCAATCTAAAAGAAAGAAGATATGGAATGGAGAAAAAAGAACCCCACTGTTTACCCAATGTCATCATGGAAACTAAAGAGAGAGGAAGGTAAACTGAGGACCCAAACCCAGGAAAACAGTACCAATCCTGGACATCTCCCACATTGACTCAGCTTGAGACTCCCTTTCCAAGCCTTTAACAAAGCACTTTCCTATTCATTCTCTTCTTTGGTTCTCATGAGAGACCTGCTTCGTTGACAGGCTCAATGTTATTATGCCCATTTTACAGACAAGGAAACAGAGGTTTTGCACAGTGCTCAATATCACAGGGAAAACCCTTGCCCTGAGATTCTGCTGCTTCCCCTTTTTATGGCAAGAAAGAAATATGGCCAATTCCAGTTCCTTCTTCCCCATACAAACCAGAAGTGAGGTGCTGGCCAGAGAAGTAATGAGCATCCCAATATGAAGAGAATGAGATATTAAGAATTGTGATACTCCTAGTCATGTACAAAAAGCCATTTTTTTATCTTACTCTGAAATGACCCTAAAAGAAAAAGAGCAGTTTTGCATCTTGTCATTAAACTGTTTCTTCCTGATCTCCATCAAAGAAGGTGGGCAAAATGAGCTCACAAGAATGATAGCAGTCAAAGGAATTCTGCACACTTCCGTGTTGATTCATGATTGCCAGAGCACTTTCCTTCCAATAACTCTGTGAGGTAGTATGCCTCCCTCCATTCTCTTTGCCTTGCTCACTTGCCAACTTCATCCTGGTGGATTTGCTCAGGAACCATTGGAACCACAGAGATCTGGTTCTGTCATGTGAATACAGCCCCTCCAGGGTTCCACACGCCATTGAATGGACCCTGTAGGACTCAGAAGAATCACTTACGTGTTCAAACTCAGAGAGACATCCAAGGGCACACTGAGAGAGAGACTCTTTTTGTCTTGATTTTCTGTGAGGGAAATTTTCAGGAGTTGGGCATTTTTAATGTTGAACCTGCACAGAGAAGCCACGGTTAAGAGAGAGAGAGAAAGATGTCACTAATTGATACCTTTCATAGATCCAACCCTTTCACGATACATCTTGAACTCCAAACCCAACCATTCCCAAATGCTACTCTTCCCTTAAACAGATAAGTGGTCTCTGAGAACAGAAAGGGGGATGTTTTCACCCAAATGAATCACAGATTTTGAATCAAGACATTGGTGTGCAGTCATAATCCTATGTCTAATCTAGATGATTGAGATCACCATGGGAAATGGAGGCATGATTAAGGAGATCCAATGGAGGAGGGTCCAGCTGTCAACATCTTGCTTCCCACCCTGTCTCCTGTGGTTTGCCCCATTGCCCCATGGACAGGTTGTCGGGAGCTCCCTCTATTCACTGAAACCTTTTCCTAAGTTGTGCTGTCCTCAGTCCCACTCTGGGAGATTGCCTGATGCCCACATTTGAATTGAAGCATGACTTTATAAGCAAGAGGGACTCACGAAACTATTTTCCCAATCATTCCACTCAATGCCTTCAGCACATTTCCAATAATTGGTGCGTCCTCAATTTCTTTTATCAAGTCCACCTTGTTGAGCTCTTTCACAGCATTTGTCAGAGTATTCTGCAAACCTGGAAAAGGACTTCAAGTTTGACTCTTGCTTACAGAGAAAAGAGAGCAGGTTGATGTCATAGCAGCAGCCCTGGATTTGAAGTCCAAGGAAGTGGATTTGAAGCACAGCTCTGCTTGCTACTTTCTACTTAGTTGTCTAGTTCTCTCTGGTTCTCAATTTCTCCTCAGCCAAATGAGACACTGGATTATTTACCCTCTACTGTCTCTCACAGCTCTATTGGCTTTGCTCCTATGATGCTAGAAATAGGTTGGTCTCATTCATTTTCAAGCCCCATATCCCAAGATTCAATGTCTGAGCACTTTCAAAGGCACTCTCCACCAGCCCCAGTAGCCTTATAGAAATGAAATCTCTGAGGCTCAAGAGAGGAGGAGACTTGTTCTATGTCATACAGAAAAAAAAAAGAGCAGCTTTCCTGTCCTAATGGCTGGATAGAACTCACATTCTCTGACTCCAAACTCAAGGCCATACTGAGCCACATTCTCGATGGATGGGTAGATGCAAACATACTCATAGGTCCTGTGGAAGGGGAAGGATCTTACTCTTCCCTCTCAACTCTAGAAATGCTTAGGCAGCTAAATGGCATGGTGGAGAGAGCCCTGGGCCTGGAGTCAGAAAGCCATGAGTTCAGTCCTAGCTTCAGACACTAACTGTTTGACCCTAGCTAGCTCACTTGACCTCTGTTGGCCTCAGTTAAGTCAGCTGCAAAATGGGGACAATTAAAGCACCCACCTCCCAGGCTTGTTGTGCGGATCAAATGAGATAATGATTGTAAGGCCCTTAGCATACTGCCTGGCACTACAGTAAACACAACATAATTGTTTGCATAGTAAGCACTATCTCAATGTTTGTGGCGATGAGGATGTTTGAGGGGGAGGTTATACGTGAAACAGTAGGCCCTTCTCTTCCTCTCCTCTTCTCCTGGACTGGCTCCAAGGTTTTGCCAATCCTGGTCTTACCACCAATCTCCCCACATCTTACTTCCCAAGGTCAGAGGCATCTCTATTTTTATCACCCTTTGACCCAGTGGTCTTTTCACTTCAGGCCTGGGGTCTCCTGCAAAGGGATCAGGCCTAAGTAAGATGAGAACTTACTGTTAGCGACCTCTGAGATGACTTTTGAGCCTTGTTCTTCCTCCTGGGCCAAGCTCAGTGTGAACTGGCTACACAAGAGCACAAGTCCTAAAAGCATCAGGGTCTTCATGTCTAATATGCAAAGAAGAAACTGGTATTTTAGACAATATTTTCATTAAAACACAGTTTGAAAACAAGATTCTCCCTCTATACATGCTTAGGATTGTTAGAATTCTCTAAACAATCACATTGTTAGTTCCATTCAGACTAAGGCAAAGATAAAGGCTTAAAACAATATGGTGAATAAAGAAGAGAAGAAATCCATGCCCCTTCCACCTCCAAACCCCTCCCAGTACTTCCAGCTGAGGACAATTTCTCTCCTGAACCTCCATGTGGAATATTTGAGGGAGCATGGTGGGGTATTGTCACACAGCCCTCATCTTCGACCCTTCACACATGCCAGGTTTCTCTATGCAAAATGGATGAAAACCCCTTGAGTTCATCAGTCTTTCTGGAATCCATATTTTCATCTGTTGCCAATCCTTAAGGATAGAATTCCAAATATTTCTGATTTGCCATGCAGAATACCATTTTCATTTTTTTCCTAAAACCTCCGATTGCATATTTTTAGCAACTCCCCATAACTATTGTCCATACCTGCCTCCTATGACTCCCCTCTAGTTCTCCTGGGGTTCCCATGAAGTCGTGTTACTATCAGAGCTGCATACTCAGAGAGGACTCATGGTATTGGGTAAGTGACCTGAAAGTCAGAAGTCCTTAGACCCTCCTGAATCCCTAACACTGACTCTGCATGGGGAATAATACTACTGCCTGGTCCAACTCTGACATTTTAGGATCCCAGTGGTAGAAACCTCAAGGTCTTGTACAAATGTCTGAAAATCAATACATGGCCCAATGATTTTTATTCTGTTTGTAGTCCCTTTCTGAATATAGAAGCAAATGCTTGGACTCCAGTCAAAGTCACTCACTGTGTAGCATGGAGCATGCAGGGTGGTAAGCCTTACACTTCATCCTGAAAGCAACTAAACTGAGTCAAGTAGAGCTTTAGAGGTTTCATCCTTTAGCTCAAAGAGAAAGCTCTTATGGAGAAGTCTTCCAGTTCCTCGTTTCTAAAGTCCTAGGACATTTAAATTGAATCTTTGACCAAAATGTCCAAACCACATGGGAGCTTGAGCTTAGAGAAGGTCTAGTCTAACCATCTCATTTTAAAGAGAAAGGAACTAAGACTCCAGCAGAGGAAGGGACTTGACCAAGGCAACACAGTCAGGTTTTAGCAGCATCTATGTCACTTACAAAGCAATATTGGTCAATTTTTACAATTCCAGCAAATGTTTATTGTCCTTGGAATCCATCAACCCTGTTTGATTTGAAAGAGCCTCACTAAGACTGGTTGCAGACGACCAAATGGATCACAAGAAAATCCTTGAGAAGTTCCTCATTCTGATCTTCACCCTGATATCACCTGATACTGATATTGTTCTGATACTCTAAGGTAGGAGTAGAGGCCTGCAGAGGTTTGGGCCAAGATGGTCTCTAAAGGCCCCTATGGGATGTGAGTGATAAAGGGACTTCTTGCCCTCAGCCCTAAGGCCCCAGGGGAGGGTAGGCCTGGGCTGGTGGGTCTCACCTGGCTGTCCCCAAGGAGTCTCAGCAGGAATCTGAATTTCCTTCTCTTCCTCCTCCTGTAAGACTCTGCCTACCAGGGGCCTTTATGTAGTAAGACCAGCCAGATGAAGCCAGAAATTCACAGTCTGATGACGTATTTCAAAAAGTGGTTTGGAACATGTTACTCGTGATGCTTCCAAGTGTACTCCAAAGTCAATAATTGATGATCACATTGCCAGAAGGGAGAGGCAAGATGAGTGATAGGCAAATTAAAGAGATGTCAATGTTAGCCTGTCTTTCGAGACTTGCAGCTTTAATGAAAAGGAGTTTCTTGCAGTAAGAGGGATCAGATTTGTGACATGTAGGGAGGAAGCCTAAAGGAGTTGGTCAGGCAGGTCTCAGTCCCAAAATAGAGAACTTGCTTTACATTTTGACCTCTATGTCATTCTCTGTGGTGGGATGCATGTTCATCATGAGAAGAGGAAGTCACATATTGGTCAGAAAGGATGAGTCGTTCAGGGCAGTAAACTCGGAGTCAGGGTGAACTGTCACCAAGTTCTTCTTCTGGCCATTTCTTAGTTGTGTGACTAGATCTTGCCTGATTTTGTTGAAACGCTAAGGTAGGAAGGAATTGGAAAAGTGACCTGGATTTAGAATAGAGAAACCAGCCTCCTTTTTGCATTTCTCAAAACTGGAAGAGACAGTGGAACAGAGGTGTTCTAGCCCAAATGTCTTAATGAATTCTCCACAGTTAGCCAACATCTCCCGTGATCCAGGACCCCATTAGATTATCTACCTCTCACTCCAGAAATTATTTACATAACTTATTTCAAAGAACCTCCAATCTGAGTGTTGCAAAGGGGTCTCAGAGGTCACCTACTGTCACCTATACCCTGCAGAGATCCCCACAGGATGTTATAACATATAGCTGTGACAAGTGGTCATCCAGCCCTCCTTGAAGGTGTCCAATATGGGGGAAGTCACCACTCACAAAGCAACCAGTTCTACTCTTGGATAGCTCTAATAATTAGGAAAATTTTCCTTACATCAAACCTCATTTTGCCTCTGAAAGTTCACTTGCTCCAGATTCTTCCCTCTAAGTTCAAACAGAACAAATCCTCTCTGTAGCTCAGTTTACTTAGCTGTAAATGGAAGGGGTTGGATTCTATGGTCCCCTCCTTTAAGGTCCTTTTCAAATCTAAATCTCTGGTCATCTCCTATTTCTCCTAGTTTAAAGTTCTTTTAATCGCATTTTCAAAATTCTTTACAAATGTGTTCTTGTTAGGCTTTATTAAGTGTACTCTAGTACTTCAGCTATGTTCTTAATTAGAAATTCATATGATTCAAGAAGCAGGGCAATGCTATTACTACTTTTCTGAGCTTAGGATTCTATAGGTTGTAGGGGCTTCACTTGTGAGTAGGTGAATTAGAATTTGAACCCAAGTCCTCACTATACAATGGCATGATTTATCTACAGTTCCAGAGAGGGGATATTTTAGAGCCTAGGGAGAGTTTAAGGTGTTGAACATCAAAGTGCAATAGAAGTGTTAGGGCATACAGGTCTTACTTCCTATTTGTGTGACGTTGTATGAGTTATTTAACCTCACTGGGCCTCAGTCCCCTCATCTTTAACATGAAGGGTTCTAAATATCATAGATGCTAATTACCATTGGGTAATTACTACCATTGGGAAAGTTAAGTGTTCATGACCTCAATATGAATTAGCTGAACCAGATTTCTCTGAAGACCTTAAGACTATCCTTGCCCTGATTTGATAGTAGAGAGGGGAAGGAGAGACAACAGGAAAGAAAATTATAGCCTAAAATTCCCTTTTCTGACAAATCTTCCATTCGCATGCCAAAGTCATACAAGATTTCTCAAAAGAGGCAACTATGAGGAAAACAATTCAAATACCATATGAATATTTTAAAATAGATTTTTATTGATATTATGTCTTTAAATTGCCCAGATTGTATCCTTTATCTCTCCCTGCCTCCTGAAATCCATTTTTATAACTGTTTTAGGAAAGAAAAAGTAAAAAAGGGAGTAAATATAGAAAGAAATCTAATAGTATATGCAATATCCCACACGCATGTGTCTCCATCTCTGAACAAAAGCAGGGGGAGATTTCTTCTCATATCTCTTCCTTGAGGCCAAATTTGTTTCATATAATTTCTTTAATTTCATATAATGTTCACTTTCAATTTTTTGATGAAGTTTCTGTTCATTTACACATTATAGTCATTGTGTACATTGTTCTGCTGGCTCTCTTTACTTCACTTTGCATCAGTGCTTATAAGTCTTTCTATGCTTCTCTGTATTCATCATGTCCTTATTCAGAAGTGTGCTAAAGGCAGCTCAAACCTGTGAAGTGATTGTTAAATTTTCATTGTGAGCATCATTTAACCTCAGAAATCAGCAAATGCTACAAATTAGAGCTTGATTAATGTTTTGTTGATTTCTAGATTGAAGGAAGTGATGGGAAAAATGTTTAAAATGTGCTTTAAACTTAGGAGTCTTTCATGTGTACTACTTTTTCTTGGAGAGTTAGTTATCAAACATTTATGAGCATACTGCCGTATTTCTTACAGCACAATAATAATGGGGGAGCTCAGGTGCTCTTCCACAAATTTCTCAGGGAATTCTAGCAAGGTTTTCTTTGCTCTGGGACTGTATCAAATTCTCTTGTTTCTGTCCTCAAATTATTTATATGACTTAATTTTTCATTAAAAGTTACTCATTAGAAATGCATATGGATTAAATGTTACTACTAATTATGTGAACTTCAGGATCCTAGAATCATAATATTTTGTCATTTTTACTGTTTGTAGGGGACACTGAATTTGAAATTAGCTCCTTACTATGTATTGGTGAAAAGTAGTCAATAGGGAATCTATCAGGGATTGGGAACTGAAAGGTAAAGAAAATGGAAGGGTAGACAGGCTTTATTTACTAGCAGTGTGACCCAAGCAAGACACTTAACCTCTCTGAGCCTACTTTCTCATCTATAAAATGAGGGGCTTGGATTACATGATATCCAAAGTCCTTTATCAATCTAAATCTTATGGATCCTGGAGAATTAGAAGTTCTTCTCCCTGAGGAGCTACTGGGGAAAGGACAAGGGGAAGGAAGATGAAAGGTAAGAAAAAATGTTACCCAAAAAGTGCTGTTCCAACAATGCGTCTTTCATGCTATGCTAAAAAATTATAAATAACTTCTTGAAAGAGTCAACCACATAGCCCCAGGACTAAGAACACGGCTGGGCCCTCAATATTGGATCAAACAGAGCAGATAAAAGACGCAGCCTGGGCCCAGGCCAATAGTCTGATGTTGTTCAGAGGGACCTAGATCATGGAATCAGATCTCAGAGCTCACAATAGAATGAAGCCAGCAGTGCAAGACAACTAGAGTGGGCAGGGACTCAGCCCCAGGGCCAGGACAAAGCTAGGACAGTAATGAGGGTTTGCCCAGGATAGATGTACAAGACATATCTCAGCCCAGAATAGTTCTAAGTCAGTGCCACTGTCACTCTTACTCTATTGAGCCTTTCTGCTATCTGACAGGGGCTCAGGCCAACTAATGTCTAGCAAAGTGCTATCCATAGGTAAGAAGAGTACTGTGTCCTAGAACATCTATGGGGACAGCAAGCAGGTTGTGCCCTTGATTAGATTTCTGAGAGGTGATTGAAAATTTGCAGCATCATGGTTCAAGCCATGCTTGTGGTATTTGAAGAACATAGCACTTGGAAGTCAAACAGTGTAGCAGCAGCCCAGATAGAACAGGCTAGAACCATACAAAGCTACAGCAGTGCTGTCAGAAGTGGACAGAGCTTGGCCATTACACAAAGTCCCATCTGGGAAGTAAAGGTGGATAAATAAGTAAAGAAATAAAGATTGAATTATTATAATAGCATGGGAGGCTTAAGACACAAGCTAAGAAATGGAGCAAAATCAGTTAGAATTCTTAGACGTAATGATACAAAAATGTTTCAGAATTTTAAATTAATATTTTAAATGAAACAAAAGTGACAAGGCAAAGAATTAGAAAAGAAATGAGAGTTTTAGAGGAAAGATGTAAAAAGAAAATTAACATCTTAGCATAGAAGGTACAAAATTTTACCCAAGGAACAGACTCTTTGAAAATTAGAATAGAACAATTATATGTTGATGATTCCTTGAGATAATAAAGAATATTGAATATTTAATTAAAAGCCTGAAGAGGTTGCTAGGTAGCACAGTGGATAGAGTGCCAGTCCTGGAGTCAGGAAAACTTGAGTTCAAATCCCATCTTAAGCACTAGCTGTGTGACCCTGAACAGGTTATTTAATGCTGTTTACTGCACTTTCCTCATCTGTAAAATCAACTGGAAAAGGAAATGGCAAACCACTTTGCCAGTATCTTTGCCAAGAAAACCCCAAAATACATCACAAGGAGGCAGACATAACTAAAAATGACTAAACAACAAAAAAGCCTGAAGAAAAGGAGGAAATATAAAGTACTTTATATTAAAAAAAAAAAAGACTGACCTGGAAAACAGATAAAAGATAGACAAATTAAGAATCATTTTACTACTTGAAAGTCATGAAGAGAAAAAAGTCTGGATATAATATTCCAACAAATCATGAAAGAAAACTCTCCAAACACATCTGAATAAGAAGGCAAAGTGAAAATAGAAATGACATCTCAAAAGAAACCCAAAATGAAAACTCACGGAAACATTATAACTAAAATCCAAAGCTTCCATGTCAAAGAAACAATACTGCAAGGAGCCAGAAAGCAGACAAGTACCAAAGATACACAGTCAGAATTACACAAGACTTAGCAAATACCACAGTAAAAAAGTGGAGAGCTTAGAATACTACCTTCCAAAGGCAAGGCAAATAAACTTAAAATCAATCATAATTTACCTACCAAAATTGTGTATAATTCTACAGAAAGAATGTGTGTATGTGTGTAATGAAATAGAGAATTTCCAAGCATTCCTGATGAAGAGAACAGAGCTGAGTAGAACTTCTTTTTAAAAGAATAAAACAAACATTTTCAGAATATGGTATAATAAAATAGATGAAACTTTACATGAAACTGCAAACCTACTATGCACAACTTGCTATTCCTTTCAAATATACAACAAA